GATTCCACCCATTTCACCGTAAAGGTCTAAGTGCTGAGAATCTTATTTTAGTAATCAAGAACATACGAAACTATTTGGTTTAACAATTAAGAGAGATAATTCCGACTGATAAAGTGAGTGTGACTGGTATTAAAAAAACGGGATAAGGATAAATAAAGAAATGGATTACATCTTATCAAAGTAGAGTGCGAAATACTGGCGACTAATGCCTCCATTGAGAGAACTGAATGCTAAAAGAAAAAAATAGGATACTAGCCATTAAAACAAGTTCATATTTCCGTCAGAACACAAAGATTGAGCTTTGGAGCCACAACCTGTCCCTTAACAGAAAATAAAAACGGAAATTAACCAATACATAAGGTGCGCGACAAAAAGATAAGGTCAGTTTGTTTTTTCTTTGTGGAACTCAATTTGAGTGATTACTCTTCGGATCTTGTGGATTTTATTGTTCGATAGAGAGAATGCAACAAATAAATTCTAATATAATGAGTAAACAAAGTCCCGTTAGTTTTAAATATATCAAAAAAGAAAAAAAGCTAAATATTGCTGCGACAAAATGATAAGGTCAGTTGCAATTTTTTACGAAAACAAGTTTATTAATGAACAGAATAAATTTTTTTAATTAATTTGGCTTCCAATTTTTTGGATTGTTTTAAAAATACGCCCGGCATCGATCCTACCAGGCTCGCGAGCGTTGTTTGCCGAATTTCTCTCCAGGCATTCAATATGGCCACTTTCAGCTCAGCAACAGTGCTGAATTGCCTGTTATCGGCATAAACTTCACGTACAAGAATTCCCCACATGTTCTCCATGGGATTCAGGTCAGGTGAGCGCGCGGGCCAGTCCAAGACTTCCACTGAATTGCCCACAAACCACTCCTTTGTTGACCGACTCACATGGATCGCTGCATTATCTTGCTGAAAAACAAGCGGCGATTCTCGATTTTCAGCAAGAAAAGGCAGCAAACATGTGGAGAGTACTTCCTGGTATTCAGCACTGTTCATGCGTTTTGACGGAATTGCGAGAGGCAATGTTCCAATAGAGCTGAATGCTCCCCACACCATCAACGAACCACCACCAAAATTTCTTTTTGAAATATATTGAGGCTCCTTTCTTAAATCCCGCCAATAATAATTCAAACCATCTGGGCCATCAAGATTGAATTTTTTCTCGTCCGAAAAAATCATCTAAAAGAAAAAAAACAGTCATTAAAACCTACAAATTATTTTCGTTTTATTTATTATAAAATTACTTGATGCCAATTGGTTGACATGTTTAATTTAGCGAATTCAAGCCTCTTCGCTTTGTGGTTAGCATTGAGGCAAGGAACTTTTTTCATTTTGGCTCGCTTCAAATATTCATTTCCGTTGATGGCTCTGAGTACTGTCCTCTTGGATGCAGTAAGCTTAAGCTCTGCCTTAATTTTTGCTGCACTTATAGTAGAATTTGAGGCAATTCATCCAATGGAGCGCACTGTGGTCGCGGAAAGTACTTTTTTTCGACCAGGACTCTTTTTTTTTCCATAATTTTCTCGATCCTTCAAATAATTTTGTACAACGCACAGTGATCTTCCAAGGTCTTTGGCGATTTGTCTCATTCCAACTCCGTCAACAACCTTTCCGCCAATAAACCCTTTCTCGTAAGTAGTGAGACTCTTACCACGACCCATTTTCTCTTCAAAAACTGTTTAATAATTTAATTATTAAAATAAATCAAATTTTAATACAAACGGAACACTCACTTGACCAAACAATGCAAAAATTGCAACTGACCTTATCATTTTGTCGCAGCAATATTTAGCTTTTTTTTCTTTTTTGATATATTTAAAACTAACGGGACTTTGTTTACTCATTATATTAGAATTTCTTTGTTGCATTCTCTCTATCGAACAATAAAATCCACAAGATCCAAAGAGTAATCACTCAAATTGAGTTCCACAAAGAAAAAACAAACTGACCTTATCTTTTTGTCGCGCACCTTATAAACTGACTAAAATTAAAAAATAAACAACAACAAAAACTGCGACTTGGAACTAAAAATGGAAAATATTCTAAATTTAAAATAGTATGTATGATCTTATTCCATTTTCAGACAGGACAACACTTCTAAAATTTAATGAAAAAACTGTGAATATAAATTTTATATAAATTTACAGGATAATTCTGGCAACTACCCTTCAGCTCATCTCATCACAGTCTATCTATTGCAAAATGTTTTGAAAAACATTTCGTATCCATTAAAGGTGACATAACGAAAAATCTTTAATAATTAGTTACAAAAATATACAAACACAGCGAGAAATACAGATGTAATATTACCATAAACAACACAAAATTTAGGATTGCAATTAAAATGGATGCTCACATAAAAATGCAAGATTATTCATTAACAATATTAGCATTGAAAAAGCTAACAAATACAAATGTCTAAGTTGCTGGGTAAATGCTAAATTATATTTCTAGTGTGGTCTTGCTACCGAACCGTAATAGCAAAAGCAGAGATTTTATATAAATTGACGTTTATTTACCACATTGAATACAATAAAAAAGACACTTAAGATGGGAGTCAAAAGTAAGGTGAAATATTTTGTTGGTGATAAGTAAATGCTTCTATAACCAGAAAATGAGGCTACATGGAAGAAATATGTGTTTAAATTGTTGCACAATGTTTTAGGGTCCTGGCTCGTAGGTAGAGTTTTGCAATTGAATTGTGTAAGCTTGGTATAAGAAAGAGAGGAATTATATGTATAAAGTTCTAATATAATCCATATTCTATCATTTTGGAAGTCGCAATTGTCTAACTGTTCCTTTTATATTTACGGCGATATTCATCCACCATTTTGTGAATATTCCTGTACAGGGCAGATATGCGAGAAATTATGGCGTATAGTGTATGGATCGGAAATGTACTCTTTTTTTTAGAACAAAATTACTATTAGAGAAGCATATGGCCCCTATCAGGATGCAAATCTGTCTTAGATAGATATAAGATCTATTTGAAAAAGAAAATGTAAGATTCATAAAAGCGCATCCTCTCCGATGAGCGGAGGATGTTCTCAGAATAATAATGAATGAAAAATGAAATAATCATAAGGCGTATGTTTCTCGTTTTGAAGATTTAAATTCACTTAATGTTTTGTGTTTCAGCATGTTAACAGCCATCTTCATTTCCACAAAAAAAACCCAAAGAACTTTTCGAATAACTTTTTAATTAAACAGAGATTGGTAGATGGAGTCTACTGAGATGTATGTATATAAAAATATTTTTCTTCTTTATTATTGAATTAGATCCTGTTTTGATACAACAACTGAATTGGATATATTTATGTGAAATTATGACATATCAAATGATTGTTTCTGTAGATCCAGACGTCCAGCATTCACGCCATCCCTTTGGCGGTCGACTGGTTAATCTCGCGACTATTGGTTTCTCTGCCATTGCAATCTTGGCCAGGCGATGATTTTCCATTCTTTAAACATGTAGATTCCACTACTTCTGTCTCCGACTATTCTATTTAATTATGTGCAGTACCTCGTAGATTCACCTAATGTTGTTATTGCGAATTCGATCCCGACGAGTGAAGCCAGCTATCGAGCGCAGAGTGTGGATTTTAGTTTTGGATAACATTTTCAGTAGTTTTCAGTGGTCGGCTTTTGTCTTAATGGCATAGTCGATATAGATCTAACGCACGTTTTAAATATTTTTCCTCTTATGCTTATACGAAAGAAATATTCGTCATATAGTAGCTCTAAGACAACATGCTACACGAGCGACTTTGTTTGGGTGGTAGATTCAGCACTTAGGACCTTTGATGATGTTATTTTAGCTCCAAGGTAGTTAAATTCCATGACCTGCTCTGTAGGAATTTCGTACACTGCAAGTTTGCATCAAAGAGGCTATTTCGGGTTTTTAGGGACTTTGTTTTCGAGGTGGACATTTTTTTATATTATATTTGTTTGTTTGCAGTTCGTTTTTATTGCCTGGAAGTAATACGACATCGTCTGCATAAACTATTTTAATTTTATTTCTTAGTTTGTACCCTCTGACCATCCCTTTCACCTCTGCAATTCATAATACCTAAGATTGAACAAAATAGGGCTTAAACTTAAACAGTTACTACGTGTTTCAAGAGAACTCTATCGAAGGCTTTAGTATTGTCGACAAAACATACCAATAAAAATATTTAAGATTTATGTAAATTACGTTTACTACAGGGTTAGACGATTGAAGTGTTACCAACTATACACATGTACATCTGTCAAACTGATTTTGCCAACGATAACGCTGATTAAGCATTTGCGTCTGAATGGAATTCAAACGTAATAGTGTGATAGCGATATATTTGGGTTAAGCACTTAAAAGTGAATAAAATGTTTGCGTATCTTATCATATATTTATAATAGCACAGACAGCGTCGCCAAACACAGGACGCTTGTAGACGTAAAAAACAGCAACACCACCTAAATTGGTTCGGAAAGTAAAGGCTCGATTTGCACGAAATCAACGTCGTAGTGGTAATCTAATGTTAAAGAACTGAAAATATTTCAGCGAGGCATCCGACACACATATCAAAATGAGCTCAAATTAAAGCCTTCCAAGTTCCATAAGGTACATGATCTTTTACCAAAGCAACAAAAAGTGAAACACATGGTTGTAGACCATGGACGTTCCCACAAGACAAGATACCGTCTCATAAAGCTCGTGTGAACCAATAATTGTTAAAAAATCAGGTTCCACACTTGATTTCGGTCACACAATGGTTTTCGAATTCTGGGCCAATTTGGAAAGCAAGGTGAGGACTAAAATATTTGCCAGTATGGATTCTGAAATTTGAATTATTTTCACAAATTATTATAATTTCAATCAATAAAGAATTATTTCACACAATAAAGATATAATCGTTTGAAAGGTAACACTTCAATCGCCCTATAACCCTATATAATTTTTAAAAGTTGGATTCCATTAAACATTTAACAATTTTATGTATTTTAAAATTTTAGATGAAAATGAACAAAAAGTTGAGGAGCTGCAATCCCAAGTACAGAATTACGAAGTGAAATTAAGAGACTGTAATCAAAATATTGACGAACTGCGAAATCAGTTAGACAAAGTCACTCAAGAACGCCTACAATTAAATGAGTCTATTTGTTCCTATGAAAAAGATCTTGCTACATTACGTATTGCAAAAAATTCAATTGATGAACCTCGAGATTCATTGCAAACTTTCATTGTAAACGCGAAATGTGAAGCTTTAGCATATGTGGAAGAAATTAAAAGTAAAGAAGCTGTTCATGACTCTAAAGAGAAACACATTGAACAGGAACGTACAATGCTAAATAATAGGATAAAAACTTTAAATGACGAGTTAAGTAGGACCAGTTTAGAATTACACAATATTCAAAGTAAAACTACAACTGAAACTCTACTTATTGAAACCCGCTTGAATAAAAAAACGGAAGAATTAAAAATTGTTCAGGATCAATGTGAACAATATAAGCAAATGATTGCCGCACTAACTCAAAATATTCAAGATTTAAATACAAAAATATTAAAACAAAATGAAGAAACCAGTAAGATGATGGAATTTTATAAAAAAGAGTTAGAAGCAAAAACAAAATTAGCTGATTTGTATGAAAGTGTTTCGGACGATTCAAATGTTGAAAAGAATGAGTTAAAAAACGCTGTAACGAACTTAAGACAAATGCTGATTGATGCAAGTGATCAATGTGGTGAATTGAAAACAAAATTCAAAGTGACTGTAGTCAAGCTGGATCAATTAAAAGAGGACAAGGATAAGGTCATTGAATCATTGAAAATCCAATTAAAACATGCAAACGAACTTATGAAACAAAAAGCAGATGACGATGTTGACCATGCAATTTCAAAAATTGCCCCATCTGCTGCTGTTGCTAGTCGACTTATTAGAAGTGATATATCGCTTACCGAATTATACTCTCTTTATGAAAATACGTCTGAAGATTTAGAAAAGCAGAAACGCGAAAACTCTCGTCTACAGTTAGAGTTTAATAATATTGTACAAGACTTAAATCGTAAAAAGGGCGAAATGGAAGAGATTATCACTAGTCAGAATAATCAAATAAAACGTAAAGTTAATGATTTAAGCCGGCAAGTGTGTTACCTATTGAAAGAACTAGAACATTTGCGAATGGGTATTACTAACAATGGTCCATCAATAATTTGTGGAGGTCTCTCAACTACAGATGATGTTATAACTAAAAAACTTGTAACATTTAACAGTATAACTGAATTACACGAAAATAATCAGAAGTTATTAATTCTGGTGCGAGATTTAAGTACAAAATTAGAGGAATCGGAAAATGTGCGACTAGAAATTAACGAATCATATTATAAGGAAAAAATAGATAATTACACAGCGAAAATTCAAAGCATGCAAGAAACCATAAATCAACAGGCGAACACGATTTCCACATTATTAGAAAAAACTGAACGATATAAAAAAATGTGCTTTAAATCGCAGAAAGAATTTGAAATATCTGCTGAAGAAAATTTTAGTGACTTAGAAGATGGAAATTATGACAGCATTATAGCAAAGCACGAACAGAACCTGCAACACATAAAAGATGAACTTTCAAAAACTAAAAAGCGATATTCATCAGCTGAAACAGAAATGAAACTTTTGCGCAATAAAAATAATTCGTTAAAAAATACGATCACTCGATTACAATCGGAAAAAGAAATTTTTTATCGTGATCAACAAAATCAAAATCATTTACTTAATAATATAGAACTTATTAAAACGAATTTAGAACGTTCTGAAATGGTAGGGCGGGCAGGGATGGAACAGCGTTTAGATAACACTGTACGGGAACTTTCTGCACAACGTCGACCGTTTCAAGAAGAAGAAGATCGCTTCCGTGAAATGATCAATAGTTATAAACGACAGGCGGCAGATAAAGCGAAAATGTGTATGGAGGAAGAAAAGCAGCAAGCAGAAAAATTACGCACTTATATTGTTTCACTACGAGAAGAAATAGCTATAAAATCAAATTCAATTGATGACCTCAGCAAAAAATTACAAGAAAGCTTAACACCGTCAAGTAATGATAATCCTATTACAGTAGCAAATAAAAAAGTGAGAGAATTAGAAATAAGATGTGAAGAAGCTAAAATTGAAATAAATTCACTTCAAACCGAATTAACTAATTCGCGCGCACATACAGAACAACTATTTAAAATGTCACAAAACGCGGAAGCAGAAGTTACAAAATTACACGAAATACATTCAGTTTATTGTACTAAAGCAGAAAAAGAAATTGCAGAGTTAAAGGGTTCTGAACTCGATTTAAAGACGAAAATCACTGAACTTGAATCAGAAATACAGCTGTCAACAATTCCGGAAAATCCAACAACATCTGGTATTGAACAACTAACTAAGGTAAAAATAAAAATAAAAATGACAAGTAGAGTTATATGATATTCGTATGATAGTCATATAGTAGTTTTAACCATTTGTTAAGTATACAATTTAAAACTATACACAATATTTAAATATGGTAAATGTTGGTGATAGTTTTTCTACCGTCTCTTTTAAATGCTAATTAAGTAAATTAGCATATTTGTACTACTATAATAATTTGTTGTGTTATATAATTTAACTGTTTAGTTGATTTAAATAATGGTATGTTGGATATATATTCCTACGCTATAAGATTAAGTAAAATCGTAAAAAGACAGGCAATCACAATTTGATAAGTATCTGGCGTTGCGAGAGTTCATAATAGTACATTCACACTATCTCATTTAGGCGGCTTTGCTCATTATAATCACTAATGAACATGATTTACAATAAATCAGCTCATTTTAGATCAAAAATGGTGAATGCAAACCTTAAAAAATAAATTTACCGCAAGAGAAATGACCAAAATTTGAAGTATGTATGATATATTTTTAAATATAAAATGTAACTCAAAAATAGCTGAGCTGTAAACATGTACATTGAAAAAGTGAGTATTAAATAAAATCTGTTTTTATTAATTGAATATGAAATTGATATATAAAATGTATATAAATGATTTAATATATCAATTATATATTTAATTTTTTAGTGTGATATATTATTAAGTGAAGTTTGTTTATTTCAGATGAATCCATATTAATAGTAAAAAGAAGAGCGTACTAGTATTTAATAAAATTTTTTGAATTCAAAAACTAACGTGCAATAGATATTTAAATAATTAATTTTAGATTTAGTTAAATCAAATATTTTCAGACACAAAAAATAAAAAGAAGCAGAAATGCGTGGTCGGAAAGTATAGAGAGACACTTTTTGGAATTATGAGAGGAAAAACTTCCACAATTACGGGAATTCATGGTCACTTCGTTAGAGGTGCAAACGAAGGTCCACAACTTTACACAAAGGTTTAAGTAATTATTTCATAATTGAAATGGAAAATTACAATAATAATTTGTGTATTGAAACATGCACTAAAGACTTGAAAGTAATTTTGTTAATTTTTTTTTATTTATTTTTATTAAGTTGCTGCTAATCACTTTAATTTGCTTGTTTTCTAGACAATTTGCCCATACATAACATTACAAAATTAGTATTCCAAAGTATTGCAGGTGAGTTTTCACAAATTTGTTTGACTTCTTCAAAATAATGAATGTGTTTATAAATCAAATCTGGGTCCGTCATCAAATTATGCTTCGTTGCTGTCGCCATGCTCATCTCCACGTCCATCGGTAGATCCAATATCTACGTCGGAAGGTTCTGAAGTACTAGAGTACTGCACGCGCGCATTTGATTTCAGTTTCAAAGCATTCTATTGTGTTTAGAATGGTAGCATACTCTCACTCTCAACGAACAAATACGAATGTATAGGCATAAAAACAGAATGGAATGGAATAAATATTAGTTTCGTTTGTTTAGAGTACTCTAACTCTAAACATTCTAAAAGTAGTTGAAGTAGTTGGGAGTACTCTAAGCATTTGATTTTCAGTTCATACAAAAATTATGTGTTTTTAAATAGTAAGACCCAAATTTATTTATTTAAGTTTTTTTATTAATTAAATATTATTTAAAATGTTGATTGATAATAGTAATTTGTTGATTACATATATAATATGACTTAATATATTAATTAAATATAAAAAAAATTTTGAACAAAAATTTATTTAAAAAAATTATAATAAGTTTTTTACAGTTTTTACAGTTCACAAATTTAATTTAATATGCAAATTAAATGTTGAGCATCGTCTGACTTAATTCCTCTTTTTCAAGATTTTTGTGTAAAACATGATTTGATTGATAGATCTTTGATTAGATGAAATCAATGTTCTTTTTTCTGATATTAAGTTCCGAGCAACTGAAAAAACCCTTTCCGAAGATGCACTACTTGCTGGTGTTGCAAATAATTTACAAGAAACTTTGTAAAGTAGGAATTCTGAAGGAATTCTTAAGAAATTTCTAAAAATCTCTCTTGTCATAAATAGATATTTTTACCATATCATGCATAAAATTATTTTCCAGGAAAAGGTAAATATGTGAAGCAATTTATTTTGTTACATCATAAAAAACTATCGACAAAGAAGGAAATTCTGCGCAAACCGTTTTTTTAAGTTAACCTTTTGCATTAGATCTACCTGTTTAAACAACTTTTGCATTGAAAATAATAGAAAATTAAACCTAATTTACGTACTTTGTTCTTGCAATTATTGCAAATCTCTACGCACATCCAACTTTCTTTACTTTTGCGCAGGCATCCAAACGCACACAAAATATATAAAATATTTCTTTGCAAAAATAGAATTATTTGAAATACTATAAGAGTGATTGAAATACTCTAAATTATTTGTTTATTTGATTTTAAAATTCAAAACAAACGATTATAGAGAACAAATCAACCCCCATTCCATTGAAACGAATGCGGCACAATTTCTATTCTATCGGACCGTTTCTGTTATTCATTCGTATTCGCTTTAGAAATAATTTGTAAATATGGTACACATTTGAAAATAAAACGAATGACCGCAAAAACGAATGTTTTGATGCAGCACTTTATGAAGTACCTGCAAAAAAAAAGAAAAAAAATATGATATGAATGACACCCTTTTGGAAAAGTTTCAGAATCTGATAGATGTAAAGAACCGTTACATCGAGCTGCAAGAACGCACAGATGCAAGGTTCTTGAATTTAATGGAAGAAAGCGATGTTGTTTCGTCGCGTATCGCGTCATCAATGGAAAGAGGCTTTCAATATACTTGGCTCACTGGAGACAATGACTCCAGTGATGACTAGCGATAATTATTTATTAATAATATTACATAATTTATAATTTAGATTAAGTTGCTTTCTTTTTTTTTTTTTTATAAAAATTTAAGATAATCAGATTAAGTTATTTAGTGCTACAAAATTAAATATCAAGATTAGGTTAATTTTTAATAAAATTTACTAAAAAAATGTATTATTTCCTCTTCATTTAGATCGCCGTCATTTTATAATGAAATTTCTCCTGGTTGTTGTCGTTCTGCAACTAGCTGCAACAACATCACTTTTGTAATTTAAATAGTTGTGAAGAACACAGCAGTATCGTATAATGCAGTTCGCGTTTTCGATTCTGTTGTGAATATCCTTCCCTATTCTGCGGAATCTTGTCTGCCCAAAAGCATTTTCAATCACTCTTTGACATTCAGATAATTGGTAGTTGTTTGTTGTTTGACCAATGCTAGCGTGTTCATCATAAGGGTATGGTTTCATAACATTGGTGGAAAATCGAAATGAAGAGTCACCGACCGGTATTCTGACACCATTAATCACCCTGCTTTTGTCCTCTAGAGTAATGCAATTTTCTAACTGTCTCTTTAGTGATGAGTTTTTAAAAAATGAAAGAGTCATTGACTCTCCCAGGATACATTTAATAAAGAAAACGGTATACAATTATTTTGTCAGGAGGTGTGGAAAATTCTTTCACTGTTGTATATGAATAAATTCCCATAAACAAGCGACAAGGTGAATGAGTGCATCAGAGGATTTGAGGTTCTTGGTTTCCAGAATGTTTGGGTGCAATGGGTAACTTTTCAATTTACTATTACTGAAAGATATTTATATCTTTAGATATTTTCCACACCTCCTGACAAAATAATTGCAGGTAAATACACACGGTTGACTTGCCAACGCCAAACAGATGTGCTACGCTTCTGTATTCAGCCGACGCGCCAAGGCAATACAACACATTGGCAAATCTCTTTTCTAAAGAAATGGAAATCCGAAAGGTATCTTTTTCTGTAGTCCTTTCAATAATTTATATAGCTGCTTAAAACATTCCAAACTCATGCGAAAATATTCTTTGAAAAAATTTTGACTATTTTTCTGGAAATCCACTTCTCAGAATTTCTTTATTCTTTTCTGAAAATAGAAATGTTAATTTTAAACTTTATTTAATAATTATTACTGAACGTACTAACCAAAGTCCAGTACTTCCTACGGTTCCTAGCAATTATTTTGGAAAGTATTGCTATTTGCTTTTTTCTTATTTCAAGTATAGTTTTTTGGTGCATTGCACAACATTTACGATATTCAAATATTGCTTTCTTTCTATTATTAATAATTTTACACACGTATATATTTTTTAAATCTTCTGCGTTTTCCATTTCGAAATATTTATTTTACACAATACCGATATTTTTCTTTGTGTTTTATTTGTAAACAAATGAAAGTTCTTTTATAGCTTTTTTACAATATAAAAGTTCTAAAAGCTGTATAAATGAGCTCATTATAATGTGAACGCTTTCCACTTATATAAATGAGCAGGTGACTAAATGAGACAGTGTGAACGTGGTATGGGATTCAAAAATCAGTTGCTTATACTTATTTTGGTGATAGGGCAAAACAATTAATAGTAAGTGTTAACAGTAATAATAATTAAGTTGGTAATTAACGTTTTTTTCAAGGAATGTAATTAATATGGAGCTTCCTAACATTCTTTAAATACAACCTATAATAAATTAGCTACGAAGTTTTGCTTCATAGACGAAGTTATTAAAATTTATTGCTAAATTGCCTTATATATTGTCTGCTGTTAGTTGGATATTCATTGGATAAGCAGCAAACAGAAAGACGGCTTATATGTGTGTTCAAACATTTTATATTCAATATTAGTTTGATTGATTCTGATGTCTGGTATTCAAATAATCGCTTAGCAGTCTTCTTTTTAATTATAATACAATACTGTCAACTTTTTGACAGTTTTAATGCTGCCATAACTCGTTGTAACTTTGAGTAATACGGTGTACACACAAGAGCGTTCCACCAGCAAATTTTCGAGTAAATGAGAGTATCTGAGAGAGCGTAACATCCCTGTCGAAATTTGAAAATGCTACACAGTCTTTACTCATACATTTTATTTCAAGTGAAATTTGTATTGATGAATTAATCAGCTGTTTTGATTTGAATTTAAATTTTTATATTATTTATTTGCTCGGCACTGTTCTCATCAGATTTTACACAAAGCTTTTCCATAAAAATCTGTGTAGAAAGTGAAATTTGGTACTTTATTTGTGTTACGCTCTCAGTTTGTACTTTACTTGTGTTTTACTTGAGTTTTACTGCGAATAGCTCGTGGAACATACCTCAATATAATTAAGCCAAAGAATCTAGAGTACAAAGAAGCGCTTCGGTCATACAAACGAAATAGCCACTTTATTTTGCTGGTGGGTTTATAATAAATCAACTCAAACCTCAAGCATTGTAATAGTAACATCTTAATAAATCCTGAACTCTGCTTCAAATTAGTTAGGAGCGTTTCTAATGCAAGTTTATGTGTCAGGTTGTTATTGAGAACTTATATATGTTTTGACAAAAAACAAAAGAAAAAAGTTACACATACTAGATTTTCATTTGTTTTACTTCCATATCACACAGCAACTAAATATGTTATTAAATAAATGCCACTCAAAATCGTTTTAGGCATATTAATATATAAAGTAATATAATGAAAATATTTATTTTCATATTACACATGTGTAGGTATGTTGACTATTCAGTTATAATCATACAGAAAAACTTAATTTGTATTCGCATTGATACGATTTATTTATTTTTTCAGGTACAAGATAAACTAAAAGAGAATAATGCCGAGCAGGAGTCCGTTAAAACAGCATACGATGAATTGAAAAAAGCTTATAAAGATTCCATAAAATCGTATCAAACTGAGCGAGAAGAATATGAAAATCGTCTTAGTATTATAAATAATATGAATTCAAATCTTCATAGTCAAATGGAAGCATTAACTAACAAACTTTCACTTGTAACTCAGGATAGTAAAACGTCAATTTCACCTAATTCATCTGCGATAGATATTTCTGTTCTTGATAATAGTCAAGCAAATATTGATGAAGACAACAAAACCAACGAACAACTATGGCAATTTATTAAATTTTTGCGTAAAGAAAAAGATATAACTTTAGCAAAACTAGACATTCTGAAGGCTGAGAATGCACGTCTGTTGTCAGAACAAGAAATTCTACAAAAAAAAGTCAATGACTTAACTGAATTTCTTAATAATGTCTTAGTAGTGTGTGCAACAAAACACGAGGAAATTTTGAGAAAAATTAAGCCGTTTGATGCATTGACTGATAGTAATCGTGTCTTACGTGAAGAAAGAAATTCATTATATGCCCGAAATAAGGAGCTTAATGAAAAAATAAGTTCAATTGAAGAGGAACTATTTCCACTTCAAGCGCAAAATCATGAATTTACGTTAAAAATTGAGGAATTAGTATTAGAAAATACATCTGCAAAAAATGAAGCTATGAAATGGCGCCATCGAGCTAATGCTTTAGTAGAGAAAACAAACAAAAATCCAGAGGAATTTAAAAGATTGCAAATGGAGAGAGAGAATTTAGCCAAAATGTTGACAAATGAGAAGGAAATTTTAAAACAAGCAACAGATGAAAACAACAATTTAAAGGCCGACTATGTCCGATTAGAGACTGAACTCGCTCTTTTATCAAAACAATTAGCAGCATTAAGTGAGGAACATAAAAAGGTTTCAGATGAACTAGTGACTGCTAAAAGTACCAATAGTCGAATTATGTTAGAGCTAATGGAGTTAAAAAATAAAATTCTACAAAAGGAGGAAATAATTCAGAAACATATTGAAACTATAGAGTTAAAAGAAGTTCAATTACAAGATGTAAAGAATAAAGAAATTCAAATTCGTAAAATAGCTAAACGATATAAGGATTCATATTTAGAGTTATCTAACAAAAGAAATGCATCAGAAGAAAATACGGGACAAAATGCTATGCAAACTTCAACAAATAACACTAGTGAAGGTAATGAAGGTTTAAGTAATTTATCTTCATTGAATGCAGAAATCGACAGCTTTCGAATCTTAATAGAGAAACTTAACGGAGAACTCCGACAACTCGACGATGAAAAACAAAAACTTCAAAAAAAATATGATGATTTAAAAAATACATTAGGTGAAGTTAAAGCGCAAAATAGTGGTCTCTCAGACGCAAAAATGACACTAACTCAAGAATTATTAACAATCAAAACTAAATTCCAAGCATCTGAAGATAAGCTTATTCAGATTACGAATCAATATGAAGAAACTATAACTCGTCTTGAAAAAGAACAAGTAGATCAAAATATTTCAAATAAAGATTTAGTTGCACGGTTAACCCGCGACAATGAATCATTAACTGTTTGTCTAAATAATCTTAATCGTCTACTTGGACCTCAGCAGTCTGCAAAAGCAAGTACAAGTTCTATTGCAAACTCCGATAAATGTTCAATTTCAGACTCTTCACCACGTACCGCTAATGTAAAACCTTTGTTGGGATCCACAGTGCAACAGTCAGCTACAGTTACACCATGGCGTGGAAGTGAAACACCTCTTGCTAGCTTTCGACTAATATCTGTGCAAAACAGCCGCTCGGCAGCTATACTACCAAATAGTCAACAAATAGCAGCAAGTGGTTCTACATCCTCTTCTACTACAGGAAGCGCCAGTAATACAGCTCTAGTTCCACCACAACAGCAGGTACATACAACTGCAAGTACATCTGCAGAATCGATGTCATCTTCTCCAACATCATCGCATATGGATTATATGCCTTCAACAAGTTCAGCTTCGGTTGCAGTTGCTACTATACCGTCCATGGGTGCGATTAACACTGCAGAAAGTTCTCAAGAAGCTGAAAGTGTTCAATTATCACAGCAAAATGATTCACAGCCGCAAGTAAGTGGTGGGCAATCCCAAGTTGTAGCACTACTTTCACCTCGAGTCGAAGGTTCTATTCAAAATTCTCCTTCACCAAATCCTCAAATTCACCAAGATTCTAATAATCAGCAGCCTAGTACTTCCGGCACAACTAGCTCTACTTCACATATTGCAGTAAGTAGCCAAAATAGACAAACACCTTATAGCAGCAATGTAACAACTACACATGCCGGATCATCTGGAGCTCACAAACGTCCCCGGGATCTTGATGGGGATGCATCTACGTGTACTGAGCAGTCTAATGCAGATAAACCTAAACGACCTAAACGTTTAAGGACACCATTGCATAAAAGTGAAGCCAATTTATTGGACGTAGAATATCATGTACCAACTTCATCACAACGGGATCAAGAGGATGAAATTGTTGTCATTGATTCTAAAGATGACGGTAGGGTAGGAATTGATGATGGTCCAATGGACGGTGATACAGAACATGCCTACGAAGATTTATATGCACCTAATGCAGATTTAGGTGGAAACGATGGTCGCAAAATAAAAATTGACAATAATGAAGTTGATGTTGATGAGTGCGTAGAAAGCCAAGCTGAATATTCGTCAATCAATGATAATCAAAGCACAGAAGCAAGTACAAGCCAAGCAGCTGCACAGCAAGAAAAACATCAGCAAAGTCAAACCATAACCAGCGGAAGTATCGAATCCAGTTCAAACATCCAACAGCCACCTCCAACGCAGTGGAAACAACAAGCATCGTCCACATTTAACAGACAACAAAAAATAACAAATGTTGCATCACCACAAGGCACATCAACTAAAGTTCATGAAGATAACAATAAAGATGTAATCGTTGGCAGACCCTCTGATAAGTAAGTTTTTTTAAATATGTTCACATTGTTGTATAAACTAAAAATAACATTTTTATGTAATTTGATCTCGTAATATAACTCAAATTATTAAAATAAATTTTCATTAAATTTATAATATATTTTATATAATCTACCTGCAATAATAATGATAAGATTGGCTGCCCTGTTTTTATCTCAATTCAATTATTTTATGCATAAAATAAAAAAATTAAAAAATTTTTTTGGATAATGTACAAATTGGTATACTATATAAGAACATTCGGACTAAAATAACACTCAAAATTTTACCTAATGTCATTCTCGTTATCCACTAACAATTCGTCACATCATATTACAGTATTAACATAGCAGTAAGCTTAGATTATTATTATTATTATTTAAAATAGACTATTTGTTTACTCCGACCTAAAAGATTGATTGTGCGCCTATAGGCCCAACTAGGACAATTTTAGACTATTTATAAATCTTATAATTGCAGTGGGCGTAATTTTACCTATTTGATTTGGGACCAGGATCCCGCTACCAAGGTAATTGAGTATACGTCTTGCCGCCGCTGGGCAGTTACATAGAACATGTTCTGATGTTTCCTTCTCCTCATGACAGAGTCGACAGGAATCACTTTCTACCGCACCTATAATCTTCATGTGGTAATTAAGTCTACATTGTACTGTAAGAAGTTCAGTGTAGATTTTGATATCGTTTCTGCTAAGGTTGATGATAGCATCAACTTCGATATGTTAAGGATCAATAAATTTTTTTGACTGTCGCATGCTTGTTTGGGCTCTCAAGCGTTCAAGTAGATATTGTTTCTCCCGTTCACATAATAAGTTATTTGTAAAGCTATTTGTTACCCCGCAGAAGGGCTCTGGACAAATGAAAGGAGTACATGCACCCTTCTTTGCTAATAAGTCTGCTATATCATTGCCATCATGCCCTTCGTGTCCCGGTATCCACATAAGAGTAACATAGTTCCTCGATGCTACGGTGTTGAGAAGTTGAAAGCATTCCCAGACCAGCTTTGATTAGAATAAGGATTTTTCTAAAGATTTTAGAGCTGCTTGGTTGTCTGACAGAATGCATATGTTGGTACGTATGCATTCTCTTGCACATACCTCTAAGGCATGGACCTCTGCCTGAAAAATGGAAGCAGTTTTTCCCATTACTATTGCTTTGCGGAAGTTTAATCCCATAACTCCTGCTCCTGTACTGCCATTTTCCATTTTTGACCCATCAGTTTACCATAATTGAAAGTCCTGCTTTAAGTTAATTTCAATATTTCTCCAAGTTGATCTGTCACTAATGACCACTTCGAATTCCCTGGAGAAGGCTAATTTTCTATTCATCTTGTCAAAGACCTTAAGGCACGGAGAATTCCAGACTTCATCTAGAATCTTTGGGTGTCCTGTCAGATTGCCCTCTTTAAGATTACCTAGATAAGGAAGCCTTAGTGCGGCACTGGTCGCAGTCCTTTTAACTGTGATGTGTAATGGAGTGAGCCCAGTAAACATTGCTAGGGCTTCTGTGGGGCACGTTCTCATTGCCCCCGTTACGCTTAGACAGGCTGTTCGATGAATCTTATTGAGAGTCATCTTAGCCTTCGTCTGATTTACCTTTGGCCACCATGTCAAAGAAGCATTGGTGATCATTGGTACTATTACGGTCTTATACGACCAAGCCATCAATTTTGGTCGCAGATCCCATGTTTTACCATACAGTCTTTGGCATGCATAAGTTGCTCTTAGAGCTTTGCTAGTCACATATGATAAATGGTTTTTCCAAGTAAGGGTTTTATCTAGAATTACTCCTAGATATATCATTTCCTCAGATAGTAGGGTACTATGTTTGTTTTATTCGGATAATCGAGAGTCCTTTCTCTTGACACCATTCTTGAGTGATGTCAAGATCTAGTTGCATACGATCGGATATAGTGGAGTCAAATTTACCTCTAACCATGATGACTAGATAATCTGCAAAGCCCTGAACTTCATATCCGAGGTCACCAAGAAACTGTAAGAGTTCGTCAATGACCAATAGCCATAGGAGTGGCGATAGAACGCCTCCTTGAGGACATCCTTTGGTTGGTTTGACAGTTAATCTCTTCGTCCCCATTTCAAAGATTATCGTCCTATTTTTCAGCATATTGAGATTCCATGTTATAATCAGTCTATGTATTCCTTTCCTGATCATTTCTTCCTCAATTGATCTGAATGTTGCATTATCAAAAGCTCCTGTAATGTCAACCGATGTGCAGAGAGCTATTTCCTTACCGTCTAAAGCCTTCTCAATTTTACTCGTCAGACTATGTATAGCGGTCTCGGTCGATTTGCCTGACTGATAAGCATACTGTTCAATATGTAGAGGTGAAGCTTTAATGTAGACTTCCCTGATGTATTGATCTAGAATCTTCTCCATTGCTTTACGCAGGAAAAAAGTAAGGCTAATGGGCCGAAAAGCTTTTAGCGTGTGGTCCGCCTTTTTACCTGCTTTCGGTATGAAAACTACACTAGCCTTCGTCCAATGTTTAAGTATTACGCCTAGTTCTAGAATTATTCTAAATACGTTTATTAATATCGGTGCTAATATATCAACGCCTTTTTGAAGAAGACACGGTTGTATATTATCGATACTAGATGATTTAAACGGGCTGAAAGTAGAAATAGCCCTTTTAATTTTATTGACTAAAGATTTTACGGGCCAGTGAAAGATCTCTTCGTGTAACCAACAAGAAACAAGTATCCTCGATGGTTTCCTTAGTCTCAGTATACATGGCACAGCCTGGAAAATGAGTGTCCAGCAAAAGCTGTCCCGTTTCTTCCAGACTTTTCGTAAAGCTTCCGTCAGCCTTCTTTAATGTAGAGAGGTTATTTGAATGGTCTTTGTTTAGAGATTTCTGCAGTCTCGCAACCGCAGGAAGAGTTTCAATCCCCTCGCAGTGCCTTCTCCATGATTCCCTCTTTCATTTCCTAAATTCCTTATTGTAAGCCGTTAAGGCACTCTTATAAGATGCCTAGTCTCCGCTGGATTTGGCTCTATTAAGAAGCTGGCGGGCTTTTTTGCGCAAAATATCCAATTCCCTATTCCACCATGGGACGTTCCTAGAACGTTTCTTTTTGACAAGTTCGCAGCTATTTTCAAAAGCCCCTGTAATAATATTTTCTAGTTTGTTAACCTCAAGATTTAGTTCCTGCCAATTAGTAATCCTATTCCCAAGACAACTAATGTTTTGTTCTAAATAGAAGTTATATAGAGACCAGTTGGTATACCTAACATTTCTTATTTCGAAAGTGTCTTCAACTTCCCCTTCCAAATCAAAGCGTATATATCGGTGATCTGATAAGGAGTTTTCCTCCAACACCCTCCAATTTGAAATGTTATTAGATATAAATGCGCTTGCTAAAGTGAGATCTAGTACCTCTTCCCTTATCGCATTTATAAAAGTAGGTTCGTTACCTTTATTTACTACCAATAAATTGTTAGTTGTGATATAATCAAAAAGTGACTCACCTCGTGTATTGGTGTCCGTGCTTCTTCATATTGTATAGTGTGCGTTGGCGTCGCGGCACATTACCCACTGTAGGTTTCGGATACGGCAGTCTTTTGTGAGCTGCTGTGTTGTGAGTCGAAAGGCTCAACCTATGAAGAACGTTCTGATTTATATTCCAACATAAGGCATGTCTAAAAGTAGGCAGCGTCGTTTGCAGCTTGCCCAATAGCAGTAACTAAGATCAGCTTGTCGGTAAGAAATGCTGATTTTCGGTTTTTGTTAATAGGAGAAAGTCGGGACCACGCAGCAATTCCGCGGCCTCCGGGTCTTTCCTTTCCCATTTCCTGAGACGACCAGAGAGAGCAGAAGGTTTTCGGCCCTGGGCACGGATTCTGCCCCCTCTCAATGGTGGTCCCTCGGAGTTGAGACCCGTTTTCGGCTTCTGGTTGCTTGACTGAGCACGAGTCGCAGATGTTAATGGTTGCTCATCCTCAACCACTACCTTTGCTCTGTTTCCTTTAAGTCTTGGTCTCAGCATGGCACTACTAAGTCCATAGAAGACTTTATTGTCCAGTTTTCCGACCATTTCGAACGACATAGGATTCAGAGCAATCACCATCTCGACGAGGTCACCCTTATTGAGCCTGTGGAGTACCCGCCAGAATACGGTCACTTTCCCAGGAGGCTGAGCCACTACCTTCAGCTAAGCTCCTTCCCACTGCTTCAAGGCTGGGATTGTCTCTTTAGACCAAGTTACAGTCTCGTCGTCCAGGCAGTTAATGGTAAACCATCCGGGCTTTAGGCTGTAACCGGCGAAATGAGGCTTCACCCCAGGAGCTCGACACATATATGGTGGGACGTTGGGACAGTGCACTGTCCAACAAGTGGTCCCACTAAAGTGAAGGATTAGTCGAAGTAGACCACGAAACTACTTGTGTCCTTTTTCGTCCTTCGATTCTCGAATGTTGTTGTTGAGTTAAAGCTGGCTTCCGTTCGCATAACAACATCTTTTGTTAATGCAAGCAGCTCATTAAGCTTGAGGTTTCTTGCCAAGTCATTACCAACCCAATGGTGTCCCAAGACAGTCTTCCTCCTACTTGCCAGTGCTGGGCATTGGCACAATATATGCACCGCTGTTTCCTTTTCTTCTAGACATAGTCTGCAAGTGTCTTCCTCAGCAAGAATTATCTTTTTGAGGTGATACTTGAAGTTGCCATGTCCAGTAATTAGTGAGGTTAGTCAGCTTAGAGTGCTCCGAGAATAGCTAAGCACTTTTATCGCTTCCCTGGCCCACGGTTTTGGCAACATGAGTTTGGTCTGTCTGCAAGTGCTCAACTCTCTCCATCTATTAAGATGAAGTGAGGTTATCCACTTATAGACATAGGTTGCCGTCATGTTGTAACTTAGTGGTATTCTGGGCTCTGGGCCACAGAAATTATGGCTTGATCCTTGCTTTGCAAGTTCATCTGCCTTCTCGTTTTGTTCAATACCGATATGTCCTTTAACCCACATGATCGTCACCTCATTTCCATGAGCACATTCCATGAGCTTCGTTACACATTCTTGAACTAAACTGTTAGCTATGTATGTCTTTTGCATGCTTTTGATAACTGCTTGATTGTCCAGCGCTATCAGAATCTTTTTCTGATACACCTGACAATCCAATAGGTGATCCAGAGCATGTAATAAGTTCCGCCTGATAGACGGAGACATATATTCCTAGATGTAGAGTGCACGTTAGATTTAGTTCTTCCGAATAAACCCCAGCACCAGCTCTGCCATCCATCAAGGAGCCATCGGTAAATATACATATGTCATTCCTTTTACATTCATCATGTAGAAGGGCGTCGCTTGTTAGTGTTCTATAGGACACTTCTGTCCCAGAAGCTTTCCTCATAGTCTCCAATGGCATCTGTGTTTCCTTGACCGTGGTCTGGACGAGGTCAAGAGTTTTCCGATGACCCACCAATTTTCCGAAGTTGTTCCACGTGGAGCTCCGGTTTATGCGAATTGCTGCCAGTGCCGCCGTTTTCTTTATATGTAAATCCAACGGAAGCAAACCTAGCATTGCCTCTAACGCCGGTGTTGGTGTAGTGCGCATAGCGCCTGTTATTCCCACACAGGCTAGTCGCTGAACCCTATCAAACTTCACTTTTATTGTCTTTTGGGTGGCTTTACACCACTCTTACATTGAAATAGGGCTCTCTTCGCTTTTCTTATCTTTTCATCCACATGTTCATTCCAAGTCAGTTTATTATCTAGGATGACACCTAGATACTTCACCGACTTTGATATGCGAATGTTATTATCGATAAGTTGTAA